TGAATATCATGACGAGACAATTCTATGTTTGTATGTTCTCAGGTCAGAGGGAATTGCACTTATCTCATACTCTGAACTTGCAGATAAGGAGACCAAAGACACTTATCCAGCAATGCCTACACAAGCCTTAGAGCTTTCAAGTGTTTCAGAAGTTTGGGCCAAAGCTTAGTAAATGTATTGCACTTATAACCAAAAACACATGGCAGGATAGAGGAAAGCTGAGACTTATACCTGTGCTAAGGTAACTATGCTAAATCAACAGCCAGGAGAGTAAAATCTGGATCCCATGTTCTGCTAAGCCACCATGTGGTTTGTTTGGGACTTAGCGTGTTGTGTGATCCCAGCCACTGTCATCTGTAAACCATAGGTTTATTCTATTATGATTCAACCAATAATGTATAGTTAAATCAAGCAAGATATAGTATATGTAATCCAGCCAAAGAGTACAGGTAGGTAAGGCAGATATATTTGCACATTCGAAGTCCATTCAAAGCCACACTTTAGATGGCCAATGGTTAACCACTGCTGGAACTATGTAACCAATCCCTGAAGCTGGCTGAATGGCCAAAGACAAAGAAAAGTAGACCCAGATTATATATGATGGCTAACAGCAGGAGCATATTGCTTCTATGATACCTGTGGCATAGATCTATTTGCTGTAGCTTTTTATGAGTATTAGACATTTGTTCCTGCCATCACAACCAGGAAGGTGAAATCTATTAATTCATGCAAAAAGGAGACATCAAGAATGTAGGGTTAATATTAGGGTGAACTTAGAAGAGGTTTCTGAAATCCCAATGGCGGTCTTCTTGCCCCATTGTATTTAGATTTTAATGATCCAGTTCACAACCTGACAAAAGTTCTCTGCCAGATCATATTGATCCCAGCGACAGTGTTTCAGTCTCCAGAGCTAGTTAAAATCAATATATTTTGGATATGGGTGCTGGGAGAGTAATCCTTAAGACTAAATTTTCTGAAATTTAATTTGACTTTTCTAATGCAATTTTTTTTGAGAAAACTGATTTGGAGGAAAAAGCCTGGAAAAAAAATCCTGAATAACTGGAAGCTTTAAGAACATTTTGTCCCCCCAAAATGTTATCAAAGTTGGGGGGGGTTGTCCAAATCCAGTTGCTAATTTGAAATGTCGATATTTCTCAACGATGTTTCTCCACAAGTCTGAGCCCTTGATCTCTACGAAATTTGCTGTTCAGTTTCAACATGGTGCTTCTTGCCCCTCCCCCCACTTGAACTGCAACAGTGAGATCCTACATACCAGTCTTGCATAAAGTCATTAACTACTTAACAACCCCTATCCTACTGCCTTCTAGGTATCATGAATTACAAACCTTATGAGACTCAGCCAGCAGAATTGGGAATTATAGATACTGAAGATAGACATATTAGTGGAGACACCAGATTTAGGAAAAATGATAAGCTGAAAATTCTGATACTTTCCCCAGTAATGATTTACTCACTGTGTGGTATCAGGAAGGAAGACAGGCTTTATATCACCACAGCACTGGCTAGATGACACTATGAAGTAGGGATCTGCAAAATTTGTTGATTTAGGAATGGAACATTCCAGAACATTCCATTCACCTTCCAGACCTTGCTGAACTCTGTCCTGGACCATGATGTTCTGGGGTGATTCAGTAATTTCTAGAATTAAGTCCTCTAAAGCAGAAGCAGTTCTAGGATTTATTTCTCCAAACTGGAACTTCGTGGTTTGGAAGAAAGTTTGGCATAGTTGGGAGTTCTCCAAAATGTTCCTTTCTGAACTGATAAATTTTGCATATCCACACCATAATGTCATGTCTGTGAGTCAAGCTTGACTCCTAATATTAATATGCTTGTGTAGTTTTCTTGGCAACAAAAGGAAATAGTTTGCTCTTACCAACTTCTGAGATATTTTTTCAATTTCACAATCCTGGGATTTCTGGTGGTCTCCCATCTAAGTACGAACTAGTCCAAACTTCCTTAGGCTTTCAAGATCAGCCAAGGCTGGGTAGGTGCCAGAACCTATTATAAATGGGAACATTCCTATAAATCACTAAGTAAAGAAATTTGGAAATATCCATGTGAGAATATCTAGTATATGGGATCACTGAGAGCAGGTATCTGATTGAGAAAAGTTGATAACTTACTATTAGTGGTTTCTGCTTTCAAAAGTATCTGAAAACCTTGGCATCTTACCCAGCTCAGCTCCAAGACTGTGGTGAAGGAAGAGGAGTCTATGGGTCATTCCCCCTTCTTGAATGTCAAGTTTTGTTTTTAACAAAAAAGCAAGTTTTCCTAACCATTTTATTTGTGAAGACATAAGGAAAAAACATCAGGCAATTTTCCTCTCAGTTGCTCCCCAAAAAACATTACAATTAAATATCATAGAAATATTACTGGTGGTTTTTTATATAAAAAAATTAGAAAATTGAATGCTAAAAGTGCCTTTTTCCTCTCCCTTAGCATAGATAACATATTATATTTACAGTATTCAGTGTTCCCCTTTTCATATTTCTTCTGTTGTTCTCAGAAAAACTAAATATCAAATCCTAAATTTTACACAAATATATTCTCAAATAAGCACTTTGTGTTAAATTAGAAGATGGTGATTTTGTCACATAAGCATTTAGGTCTCTCTGAGCCTCTAGTTTCAGAAACTTTATCAGAGGATGCTCCCACACAGAAAACCCCAGAATGAATTTTGCCTTGCAATAGGGGTCTCTACCGGTGCATTCCATTGTACTCTCTCCAGCTGGCCAACAGGAGGACAAAAGATGGCAGCTGGCTGGCACCCACCTCCGTGTCGTTGTTCTTGCAAAAAGAAAAAAGAAAAAATCCCCACCTAGTCACCATCTGTGGGAAATGACAAACTACACCTCAGACTGCCTAGAGCAGCGTTTCTCAATGTTGGCAACTTTAAGATGTGTGGACCTCTAGCTGGGGAATTCTGGGAGTTGAAGTCCACACTGCTTAAAAGTTGCCAAGGTTGAGAAACACTGGTCTAGGGAGATGGTGGCAAGCCATTTCAATTATTGGAAGGAGGGGAAAAATCTCAACAACTGGGATACTAAACTAAATTAGTCAGAGAAGAAATGTAATCAAAACAATCTTTAGGTAGCTCATTGTTGCTGCCTGAAGTCACTGAATAACAGTATGGTAACTGAACGAATGAGGAACAGTCTTAATTAAGCTGCAGAAACACCACATCTTACCTATCTTTACTGGACAGGCTCCCATTAATTCCTTGGTGTTTTTATAATTCTCACTATAACTGGTAATATATCATCTTTACCTATTGTATTTTTACTTTGAAAAGAATTTGCCATTTTAAGGGAAAGAAAGGGGGGGAGCTAATTCCTATATGTTTATCAGGTTTGATCTAAAAATATGTCCGTAATGCCCAGATGCCCTATGGATATATAAAGTAATACTGTAATAAATAACACTTCTTTAGCTCTAGCGCTTTAGCATTTCTTTCCTCTAGCATAGGCAGAGTGAATGAAGCTAGCTATTTAAAAAAATGGGGAGGGGGGTTTGAAAGATTTTCCATAAGTCATTTAATTGACACTGTCAGGTTATATTTTTAAGCATTCTCCTTGGAAGAATGCTTAAAAATATAACCCGAGAGCGTCTCCTTCTCCATGAAATAAATGGAAATCTTGCAATATTGAAAAGTGATTGAGGCAGCTACTTCCTGCAGCCTTTCTAAACAGAAAACAGAAGGGGAAAGTATGCATAAAATAAATGCAGTGAAATATGCATGTATTTTTCATATTGAACCCAAACGGAAACTCCATGCTACTTCCTATGTAACTGTACTTTACATAAATACAGGGAACAAGTAGATGACACAGCTTTTGTTGTCTCTGACTCAACTCACTTCACAATTTAATCACACTGTATTCTCCCTTGAACCTACAAGCCCCTATCCAGGTCTCCTGATCCATTTGCCTCAGGACAGAGTACATGTGTGGTGTCATATCTGAAAATTAATCTTTGGCAGTTAACTCCTTTCTCTATTTCTTTTTCAGGAGTGTGAGGCTTGGCTGTGTAGATGCTACAACATGACAGTAGCATTTGCACACTGGACTATTCTACTTCAAGGTAAAATAAATCATCTTAGAGCAATTACAAATGTAAACAGAAAGACTAGTCAGTGTTAACTCCTGATAGCCACATCATGAAGTTTTCTTCGTAGCCTTACAGAACTGGTTTGGCATTGCCTTTTTCCCTAAATGATTTTTCAACTTTCCAGACTAACTTACAGTGCTTGGATTACCTGGTGGTCTATCATCCAAGTCCTAACACGGTGCCACCCTGCCTGCCTCTATGCCCAGACAAGGTCGGCCAAGTGCCGCTACCCGTTAAAAGACACAAACCCACTGAGAGATGTAAACACTTTCTGGGAACAGAAAACTAGTCTATCGAGAAACAGAGCACTTCTCCCTAAAGAGCTAGATTCCCGCTTTCAGGGATGTTGGCTTTAGTTAAGGATATTTTAAAAAGTTATTTTCCCTCTTGCACTCTAAAGAAGGACAATGTAATCGTTTCATTCCGCTACCTCCGATTGACAATTGCTGTCCGTAATCCCTCCCAAATCGCTGCCGGGACCAAGTACTGCCAGCTGTGCAAATGCTCTTCCCTAAAGCGCCAGCGCCCCGAACACCCCGTTCCAAACAGCTGCCGAAACTCCCCAGGAAAGGAACGCCACGGCGTTCGCCGCGAGCACGTGATTGGCTCCCACCCTGCCAAGCCCGCAACCCATCTTCCGTCTCTCTTCACGGCAAGAAGGGAAGGCGTCCTGCAAAGCCCGCCTCCTCCCCTGCTGCGGTTGGCTGGAGCAGCTACCAATCCGCTCCAGAAGCTCGGAATTGTCATTCGTGTCAGCGGTGTAGAACCAATAATCGGGAAACAGGCGGACAAGCATTGGAGGCGAGTGATGTCAATTTCCTTAGTGTGGGAGGGGTTTAGATTTAGCCCGCCCCTCTCTTGCTCCGCTCGCAGCAGCGGCTTCTCAGTCCCAGCTCTAATTGTAAGCCAGCAGTCGCAGGGAGAGGTGAGAGGGGGGAAGGCTAGATAGCGGAACCCAGAAGTGGAATCAGGAAGCCGAATTGGGATGCAGGTAGGCTCGTTCGCTGCCTAAGTGGAACTAAGGCAAGTGGTGGAAGTAACGATGCAGGTTCCAGAGGAGGCTTTAAAAGTACAGGCAGTGGGATTGGATAGGGAAGGGGGGGGGGCGTTGTGGGTACCTATTCTGTAGTGTTTTTCTTCCCGCCTTCCTGCCCCCTTTCGTCTTCCTGCCCCCTTGCACCCGGGGCTTGCGTTTTGGTGGGAGGACCAGACTGGTTTATTTTGGATAATGGCTGTGGATGCTGGTTAAAGAAGCAGGGTCCCCGTGACAGTAGACGGCTGTTCTCTTCTTTGGGGGGCTACAGTCGTTTCTGGGTATCACTTATAGGGATGTAATTCTTTCGGGAGGGGAAGGTTTTGTTGATGGTAGTGTGTTACGGGAAAGGGAAGGATAAGCAGGTTAGGACGTGTGTGTTGGGTAACTGAGATGTTTCCCTGGATTTTGTAATAGGATGCTGACAGTATGGATTAGAGTGATATAAAGAGCATTAAGGGAGGTATCTGACTAAATTATGCATGAATTAAATCTGACTTTCTGATGGGGGAAAGTCAGGTCATCACGAATATCAAGGGCCTGCCGGTGGATCTCAGAACATGGGCTGCTAAGAGATGCTAAGAGATGAAGGAAAGGAGATGCATTGAGATAAGGTAGAATATCGCTTTCAGAAAACATTTGTGAAACTTGGTGGGATACTAGGTTATCTTTATTTCATGGAACTGAATGATTAAGAAGCCATTGTCTGACTCATACGTAATAATAATTTATTACTTGTATGCCACAACAATCAAACAAGGAAATTACAATAAAATCAGTAAAAGATAAAGATAAAAAATGGCAAGCACGATGAAGCAAGGGGTCTCACTCTCCCTCACTAAAGGCCTGGGTGAAGACAGCACATTTCAAATTTCTTTGACTGTAAAGTTAGATTACAAAGCTGTTTGAGAGCAAGCCTCTGTCCAGTGTTCACTCCTTATGGGTGAACTTTTAAACTCAGATTTAAAGTCTCTTTCCAAAACATTAATGTTATTTATTGCCTATACTAGCATGGAAAATGCCCAAGTTTTTTGCTTGTTTGTTTCATAAATTAATAATTAATGTAAATTGCAAATATAGCATTAGGAAGCTTGGCAGTTTCAGAGTTTAATTAATGCAAGCATATTACGCTTGTGGACCAGTGAGAGCTCATATAACATTACAGAATTTTGACCATATGGCTGGTTGATGTTCCATGGGTTTTGAAAAAAAACTGTATTCAGAATGACTCCAGAATTCACATAACAAAATTGCCTAACTAATGACAATATAATTGCTTCTAGGATTTAGTGTAAAGCAGTTAAAAATGTGTTGGGCTATGGTGTGTTGAAGTGACTTGCTACTTGTAGGATTCCTTGTACAAATATAAAACTAGCTCATTAAATGTCTTCAGTAAGTTAAATTATGTGTAAGAATTTGGGGAAGTGCACCTACATAAGGAGTTGGGGAGCTCAGGCTCAAGGAAACTCTTACCTGGCCCTCTTGACATAATGAAACTCTGGCTGTTATCACATAGCACACTAAGTCACACTTTGCTTAACCATGATTTACTCACTGTTATGGATGAATTAATAAGCTGCAAAACACAGTGGTCTAAAATAAGGTTAGATAATTTGTGGCTCAGTATATTTAACAAACCTAACTAGTGTGGCCAATCCATGGTTTAGTGTGTTGCATGAGCCTATGAAATAGGGTTAATTCAATAAAACATGGATTAGAGTATTGTGCAGACAGAGCCAGAAAACAGAACATAGAATTTATGCTCTAAACTAAAATTTGTTCACAACTGTTAGCTGTTGGATTAATAAACACAACAACACAGCAGAGGGCAGTAGCGTACATACATTAACACATTCATGTTTCTGCTGTAAGTTTCCCTGTTTCCATACTTATTCCACACAAAAACTGTCAGGTGTTTGGCTTCATATCCCCAAAATGCCCCAAAGATATAGCTTGCTGGCTACATTCAATTTCAAGGATATTCATTGGCTGAAGTTACACTGGGTCGCTAACAACAAATAATAGTCTCATCCTCTGCATGCGGTATGTCCTGTGACTCTGATATATGATGATCTCAAATGGGGTTTAACATAAAAGGAGAGGGAAGGAGGGGCTGGGCAGACGTGATGGTGACAGCGGAAACATATGGGCCTCTTCCTTTGCAGCTGCTGTTATATTGACATACGTGTGCATGTAGGGTTTTTTATTTTTTATTAGCATAGAGAAAATAAAGCTAATACACAGGAGGGAAGAACAAAATGAAAAGAAACAGTTTTTCTACAATTGCTGAAAATTATGTCTTTTCCATTTTTCTATTTTTAAGGTGAGAACAGTGTAATCCTTGAAGAGTCTATGAAATACTTTGTCATTGCTAACATTGGAGAACCGGCAGTGTAAGCCTATCCAGGGACTTCATGTTGCTTTAAATAAAAACCTTAATTGCCCTGGCTTGTAAAGTGCAAGATACCCTTTCAGAGAAAGGGGCAGCTCTTCTTACAGGCAACCAATAGCCTAGCTGTCCTACAAGAACGTGAACTGGGAGTTGGGAGAAGGCAAGATGTTAACCAAGCCTTTCATAATCACCTAGGATCACATAGTAGTATGTCAGCTCTGACAGAACTAGCATTTTCCATTCTAGAAAAGAGGTAATATAAGAGTTTGATTTTTCCTTCAAACTTCTGGATGATAGAAACTGACCGCAAAGCTGAATTCAGATTTTATTCTATTTATCTTTGTTTTTTTTTAAAGCTTGGATCCAAATTAATTTCATGCCATTTTTAAAGACTAATATACGAAGTGCCTTACTGAAGGATCTCTTTTCTCCACTCTGAAGAGGAACTGAACTGTTCTTAGCAGCCACAGTGAAACAGAGCCTGAAATCAGCACACCACTTTGGATTATGTTCTGGAAAATTGCAGACCAAAGAAGCCAATAATCTGGGTGCTTTATGTTGTGTATTAAGTGTGCTGGATGTTCTTTGCTGGAGGTTAGAACTCCAGGAAAGGTGAACCATAGTGGATTTGATTTTATTGGAAACTGCTGTAGTTTCTCTGCTGGCTCTGTGTCTGGCATCTCCAGTTCTGAATTGTGCTTGATGGGGGTTTTTCCTAGGGGTGCCAACTTTGCAACTAAGGACAGAATACCAGAGTTGGGAGACTTGGCTTCTATGTGCCAAAAGCCATATCAGCTTAACCCCCAAACAAAAGTCTGTTGTTCTAACAGTTGCCTTCTATACTATATCAAGAAGGAGAACTACATAATTGTGCAACGTAACGTCTAAGATGGAACTCAAAGAGGCTCATCATGCCAATGGAGTGGTGCTACCCATTGTTGCTGGGCCTATAGACTGTCTCTCCAGCCCTGACCGAGAACATCTCGTCGAGTCTTCAGAATTTTTAGGACCAGAAGAAGGAGGAGGCATGGAAGTGGTGGTGATAGAATCCCGAGCCAATGCCAAAGGGGTGCGTGAAGAGGATGCCCTGCTGGAAAATGGCAGTCAAGCTACTGAAAGTGATGATACTAGTACAGACCGGGGCCCGGAACCAACCTCTCCTCTCAAAGAGACTTCCTTTTCTATTGGGCTTCAAGTCCTCTTTCCATTCCTGCTGGCAGGGTTTGGAACGGTAGCTGCTGGAATGGTGCTGGATATTGTGCAGGTAAGACCGAACTCCTTCATAAAGCATGGTGTGAGATTCTTAATTCTGAGTTTGTAAATTTACTGCTAGTGGCTTAATCCCACACCTTGTATCTGTTAAATACCAAGCAAGCAATTATGATGTATGTCTAAGTTTCCTTCCTAGTTAGTAGATTGCACATTCTGGAGTCAGAGATATTGCTGCTATTCTTTAATTGATTCTTAAATCAATTAAGAATCCCCCCCTTAAGAATTAAGGGAGGGAGGAATATCTGCAGTTCCTGAATTCTCTATTCATTCTCTGTTCTCTTATTCATTCAAGATCCATCTGATAATTCTCAATGTTAAGCAATTTCAGTAAGTTTCCAGCTCTTATAATAAAGGAGTATTTTAAAATCTTTTCAGGATTCTCCTCAAAGCTCATACTCTAGATAATAAATAGAAAAAAAGTGTCCTAAGTCGTCATAACCTTTTCAATATTTTCTCTGTGTGTCAACTGGTGGTAAAATGTGTATCTGCGGAATTGTCCATCTGAGATGACTCAAATTGCTGCAGTAATTAGCCAGTGATCAAAGCTGGTGATGATATAAATGCTGACAAATCACAGCAACTGCTAGATGGCTAAAAGACGACTGTAGCTGAGAACTCAGAAGCTTCCTTAAGGTTTTGCATGTGTTAACTCTGATTTGGCTGTGCCCAAATTCACATTCCTCTTTCTGTACAATAAATATTAAGAAGGCAAGCACAGTTGAGGCTTCCAGCAGACTTGCTGAAATCCTATTTGGCATGTGAGAGTTACCCACTTTTCAAACAAAGTTACTGAATTTCTAGGATTCCAGTGTCACTGCCCTCCAAACTGCCTGAGCAATGAGAGTTTGTGGTTGGGTCATATTAAAGTTCAGGGATCTATCTTTTTTGTTTCATTTATTCAGGAGTAGGTTTTTGGATTTGCAGAATCTAATTTATGGTTTTATAGGAAATGGTCAATGGCGTACTATAGTCATCTGATCTTGGTTTTAAGTGTTATTCCCAAGGAATAACAGTTATTCCTTAGGCAGTTATACTTTTATTGTAACATCTATTCAACTGAGTCAGCATTAAATATTATGTTCAGAAAAAGGTGTTTATACTTTTAGCCACTGATGTATCAGTTTTAAAACTTGCCAAAGGGTCAGGTTCATATTTACATGATCTCATGAGGTGAGAAGGGATTTTTTTCCCTACTTTTTGCAAGATGAGCAATATTTTATAATGGTAATTAAATCAGATTTGAGCTATGCAGACATTTTAAAAGGGTTTTATTATATCCAGTGTGAGAGGGTAATTCTTAAAAAGAACAGGATCATGACCTGTTACAGAATCTGTTGTATAAAAGCCAGTCTGAGAAGTAGCTTCAAGCATACTGTAGATTTGGAGACAAATCAGTTTATCTTATATCTCTTGCAGCAGTAGCAAATTTTAATACAGATGGGCATGTCTTTTATCTCAATATATGATTATGGCAGTCATATAAAGAACAACAATTTACCAGTTTAAGCTGGCAGAGCTTCCCAGTATCTTTGGAAGACTCCCACTACTTTGCTAAAATTGGTAGGGAATGTTTTCATGTTTTCCTACCAATAAGTATTAATTCATGAGATGTAATTCATTTGACATTTTCACCCTTACATTTATGTATTACACAGTGTCTTGGATGCTTTTATATATATTCACATTTTTCATGTCTCAGTGGGAACTCAGGATTTCCTCAGTTCTTTTTTTATTTGCAGAAAGATGTTGTTCTGAAATGGTAGCAGTACAATCCTAGAGGGCATTTCCCTTGATGGCTCTTATTGTCAAATCTTTCACTTGTAAAACCAGTGGATGGAAATTGGATTTTCTCTGGACATGTTTGATAGCTTTTCTCCCTGGAGAGAGGTGGCCTTTTTGGCATTCTTTGCTTATAAATCCACTACCTTTACATCCCCATACACCCAAAAATATCTCTTCCTGCCCCCACCCCATTTTCTTCCCTAGCCCTGGATGGCAGCCATATAAGACTGATCAACCTCCCCTTTCTTTGCTTTTGTCAGTTGAACAGGTTTTTTTTTAAATTAGGTGAAAGAGATTGCTGCTGCCTGTCCTTTTACCTCAAAACGGTTTTATTTTTAGCACCTGTCAGACCTAGAACTTGAATAGGAAATCTTAAACGTAGGATATCTTTTATGGCTTGAGATCAGGGTCCAGTGTATCCTTGAGATTCTTTTCAGAGGCTTTGCTCCAGTTTTTCCCACAAGTGAAGTGAGGTAAATAGCAATGATAAATAAGGTTTTCTTGGTTGAAACATCACAAAATGGAATGTCCCTGCCTAATGCAGTTGACCAGTGCTTTCTTTAGGGTCCTTTTGATTACAATGACTTTTTTTGTCCTTCCAGATCCACAATCTGATATTAACATTTTGAACATTTAAACATTTTGAAACCCACTGTGTTTATGTTGTGCATCTGTAACCATACTGTGAAACAGATTTTGATTTTAAGCCACCATTTCTTTAATGGTACTTTATTTTACAGTTGTGTAAAGTTGTAGAAGGACACTGTAGGGGTTTTTTTTCCCTTGGTGGCTTTCAAGGAAAGCTTGGTCAAGACTGCCAAGGCTTTAAACGAACATAGGATATTGTTTCTTGGGAGAAGTAGATTAGGCTATACAGGTACAAGCCATTAAATTCTGGTGGTTAATTAATCTTTTTTCAGGCATGCTTAGAGCTCCTGCAGCTCTGTTCATCAGCTCCATGAAACCAAAGTTCCTGGTATTATACAATATGTACCATTTTATGCTGTTTAATGGAGAGAATCCTGGGCAAAAGATTATCCCTGTAATGGAATATAGTAATTTGGAACTGTGATGAACAGGTTACCCCTTAGCCATTTAAAGATCTTCAAGTATCCCTTGATACTAATCAAATGATTGGTTTGCTGAAGGGGTGTGGTGAAGACATGAGTTAAGATGGTTATGCATGATGTCTAATTCTGAGAAATGCAGATAAGAGAATGGTCACTGTTTTATATAAAAGGACTTTACCTCCTTGTGAATTCATGGATAGTAGATACTTTTTATATAAAGTGAATTATAATCTTATTTAGCATACAATGAAATACTTCTTGAAGCCTGTTTTGATAGTCTTAGTGGAGAAGGAAAACCAGTGTTTTTATCATTTCTGTTTGAACCAGCTTTGCAATTTGGTGTGGAAGTTCTCTGAACAACTGGAATATGAATTATGGTTTGATCATTTTTTCCCAAATTACCTGGAAGTAACCCACAATCCCACTTACCTTTTAATCAGAGATTATAGTATGTGGTGACCTGGATATTAAAGAGTTGCTTTGATCACCAAAACATGCCTATTTATTCTCCAACTTGATTGATTCATATATAAATTCTGCCTTGGAAAACAATATAAATTCTGTTTGGGGGAAAAGACTGCTAAGAGGTAATTTAATGACACATAGAAAAGGACTTCTGAAAATCATTCCTACCGTTAGGCAGAAAATAATATTCTAATATTCAGGCTATATATTGAACAATAAGATATTTCAGCATCAAAACTAGTGCTTTCAACAAAGACCTTTGAAATAAATTTGAAATCAAAGATTTTGGTATGCATTGGCTGTCTGTCTCAGTTAACAATCTTGACACTGAATTCTGCACTACCTCAAAATTCCTAGAATTTTTCACAGGCAGCTTCATGTCTCACCATAATCTAGCATTAATTTTAGTCATTAATTCTGTCCAGTAAATTCTTCTCTAAAGAAGGATTCGCTCCATGCATCAGATAACACATTCAAGAGCATTGCTGTCAGTTTCAGTATTGTAGGTCATGATCTTATGAGATGTGTACAAATGAACCTATAGCCCACATTTGGAATACTGTATATAGTTTTGATTGTTATATGTCAGGAGAGATGTTGTGGTGCTGAAGAAAAGTGTAGAAAGGAGCAACCAAAATAAAGGATTGAAGCAGCTCCTTCGTGAGGAAGAATTGCAAAATTTGGAACTTCTAGTTTAGAAAAGGTGAGGAAGAAAGGATATGATATGGCTTCATGAAATTATGCATAGCGTAGAAGAAGTGGATGGAGAACATTTTTCTCCCCCTTGTAATGCTGATGTTTTCCAATAATTTTTTATAGTATTACCTTAGCATTTACTTTCTTTCAACAGCTTTATTATTTTAGTTGTGATTTATAGGATGCCAATAATAAACCTACTGTGTGACACAGTTCATTGACAGATAGAATTTGCTGTTTGAAAATGTAGTGATTGAAACTTACTTGGACATTCCATTAAATAAAATAATGATAAGACAGACTCTCACTGACTACTAGTTTTGATGGCTACATATTACATCTACTGTTGGAGACATTATGTCACTCTGTACAGTTGCAGGAGACCTTGAAGAAAAGGGTGCAAATTCCCTTTTGTTTCAAAGGTCCAGACAAGGATATATTTCAAAGGGTAATCTTCAAAATCTGTTTTATTCTAAGTAGTCAGAAAAATATTTTTGGCCTGTACCTGTGATGGACTGGAATGGAGGAAGGGGGGTGAAAACGGTGCTCTCATCTCCAGAGCAACGCTCTGGAGGTAAGCGGAGGAAACCGGCGCATCCCTAAAAATTCCAGAAGATAGTGAATAGCTGTGCCTGGGAACTTTCTAAGTAGTCAGAAAAATATTTTTGGCCTGTACCTGTGATGGACTGGAATGGAGGAAGGGGGGTGAAAACGGTGCTCTCATCTCCAGAGCAACGCTCTGGAGGTAAGCGGAGGAAACCGGCGCATCCCTAAAAATTCCAGAAGATAGTGAATAGCTGTGCCTGGGAACTAGTGGTCAGT